CGCCCGGCTTTCACATGGAGTCTTGACTTGCGAGGTGACTGCGCAGGAGGCTGAGGTGAGGTTTGAGCACAGCGTACCAGACTCTTGCCTGCCTTTCCCAACAGGTGGTACTTTGGAAAGATTGGGAGAAAGGATGCAGAGAGGCAGCTGCTCTCGTCAGGCAACCCCCAGGGGGCCTTTCTCGTTCGGGAGAGTGAGACCACCAAAGGTAGGGGTGGTGCCACGCACCAAGGTCACTGGGAGCCCCAGCCATTGGGGTAGGGCTTGGAGCAGTAGGGTGGTTGGGTCAGGGGGCCAAGACTAGGACCAGGCCCTAGGGATGCTGCTGTCGGGCCTCTCCCAGCTCCCAGATTAGGGGAGAGGAGAACAGAAGCTCCAAAGTGATCCTTCTCCACAGGTGCCTACTCCCTGTCCATCCGGGACTGGGATCAGACCAGAGGCGATCACGTGAAGCATTACAAGATCCGCAAGCTAGACACAGGTGGCTACTACATCACCACGAGGGTTCAGTTCGACTCAGTGCAGGAGCTGGTGCAGCACTACATGGGTGAGGGCAGGCGCCTCAGATCCCTGAACCAACCCACTGAAGCGCTGTCCAGATGGGGAGACTGAGGCCCAGAGAAGAGAAGGGTCTACCAAGCAATATTGCCCAGACCGAAACTAGAACCCAAGTATGGGGTCTCCCAGCCCAGGATCCAGCTCTGTGAGCTTCTGGAGGAAAGCAGTCCATGACCAAGCAGCATGCCCTAATGACTGGACAGGCATTGGCCAGTTTCTTGCCTCAAGGCCTCAATTTGTGGAAACTTGATGGAGGGTTTGTGCCATCTGAATGCCCCACCAAGGCACCAGGGCTGCCCTGTGGGCAGACAGAGAGCCATCATCACAGGGCCCTGAGCAGGGAGGTAGAGAGGCTGGTCAGCACTTTGCCTGCTGGTAGAGCTTGGATGCCAGGGGACAAGGCAGAATGAGGGGTTCATTAGAAGGCAGTGGCCATTGTCCAGGTGAGAGGTGATGGAGGCTAGACTCAATCGGTGACAGTGAAGTAAAGAGGAAGCAGACAATTCTGAAGCGGGGTAGGAGGTAGAATAGGCCTGACCTGGTGGAGAGTTGGCTGTGGGGGTGAAGGGAAGGTGGGAGTCAATGCCCGTTTCTGCCTTGACTGGTTATGCCAAGGATGATGCCATGGAAGACCATGGGCCTCCTGTCCACACCTTGGCCTGGAATCCGCAACCCCATTTCCCCCTGTGAGAATCCCACCTTATCCTTCAAAGCCCAGCTAGAGACCACTTCCTATAGGAAGGCCCCTAGTCCTTACAGAAGGCTTACAGGGATCATCTCTCCCTCTGGGTGCCACCTCCTTCCTTGGGCACCAACATGTTCCCCTATTCAGTGGGCCGGGTTGCCTTTCTTCCTGGCCTGTAACCTCACTTGAGGCCTAGTTCCTTATAACCGATCTTGGGGTCTGGCACCAGGCTGGGGTAGGATGAGAAGTGGAAGGGGATGTCCTGGCCAGCCTGTGACTACTCCATGACGCCTCCCCCAGAGGTGAATGACGGGCTGTGCTACCTGCTGACTGCGCCCTGCACCATCATGAAGCCGCAGACGCTGGGCCTGGCCAAGGACGCCTGGGAGATAAGCCGCAGCTCCATCACGCTGGAGCGCCGGCTGGGCACCGGCTGCTTCGGGGATGTGTGGCTGGGTACGGAGCTCCCGGGGGCCGGGGCGAGGGCCTGGGCTCGGGGGAGAGGGTCCTGACGACACAGCCTCCGAGCAGGCACGTGGAACGGCAGCACGAAGGTGGCGGTGAAGACGCTGAAGCCGGGCACCATGTCCCCGAAGGCCTTCCTGGAGGAGGCGCAGGTCATGAAGCTGCTGCGGCACGACAAGCTGGTGCAGCTGTACGCCGTGGTGTCGGAGGAGCCCATCTACATCGTGACGGAGTTCATGTGCAACGGTCAGGAGGCGGAGCCTGGGCGGGCGGGATTCGGGGTGAAGTGAAGGTGGGAGTCCCCAGGCGTGGGACCTGGGACGCGATCTGTGAGGGACGAGGGACGATGGGCAGAGTCCCACTAAGGGACTGGGTGTGTAAAACGACAGGAGCGCTGGGGTGGGAGCCGGGCGGGGTGAGACCACGAGGGGTCTGGGGCGGGGGGGCGGTGCCTCCGGTGTTGGGGGTGGGGCTTGGGCTAACGAAGGCAGAATCCGGGATGAGGGAAGGTCTGGGGCGGAGTCTGAGAGGGTCGTGTCGGGGGCACCAAGGAAGAGAAAAAACGAGATGTGGGCAGGGTCTGTGTCTGGCAGCAGGGCCAGGGCGAGACAAGCGAGGGGTTGAGGCACCCGCGAGGTCCTGAGTGCGGGGCGGGTCCAGGTGGGCGGGGCTGGAGGGGCGGGGTCAGGCGAGAGGAGGCGGGGCTGGGGCCCGGGGTAGGGCCTTGCAGCTGATGTTAAGGCTTCCTCTTCCCAGGCAGCTTGCTGGATTTCCTCAAGAACCCAGAGGGCCAGGATTTGAAGCTGCCCCAGTTGGTGGACATGGCAGCCCAGGTAAACTGGGCCGGTAGCCTTTACTTCCCAGACCTTCCACCTATTAACAGTTCACACATTCTGTGGCCCCGCCCACTGCGTCAGCTGTGCCTAAGTGCTGCCTCTCTCTGGGCCTCAGTCTCCCCCTCTGGAAAGTGGGTTTTTCAAATTGTCCCTCATTCTCACATGGGCCACGGTGCTGTGAGTCCACATGAACTCCCATCTCCCCACATTTTGGCCCCCCAGGTGGCTGAGGGCATGGCCTACATGGAACGAATGAACTACATCCACCGCGACCTGAGGGCAGCCAACATCCTGGTGGGGGAGCGGCTGGCATGCAAGGTTGCAGACTTCGGCCTGGCCCGTCTCATCGAGGACGATGAGTACAACCCCCGCCAAGGTGCCCTGCCTCACCCCACCTCCCAAGAGCTCCCCAGGCAACAAGGGGACTTCTATGGGGCCCCACACACTCAGGAACCCTTACTCACCCCAGGTCGCCCGAGACACCTCCAGCCTGATGTAGAATGAGAGGCAATTCTGGGCTCAAATCCCAGGTCATCCACTTACCAGCCATGTGGCCTTGGGCAAGTCACCTAACCTCTGGGAGCTGCCTTTTGTCTTCCGAAAAGTGAAAATACGCAGATAACAGCAAATCAGCAGCAGGTGTTTACCAGGCGCCTGCTGTGTGACAGGCACAGCTATAATTCTTAAATCAAAGACAATAGGGTGTAACAGTGGGAATTCTGCAGCCAGAATGCCTGGGTACGAATCCCAGCCACATACTAACTGTGTAATCTGGGCAAGTTACTTAACTACTCAGTGCCTCCTTTTTCTCCTCTGTAAAATGTCTCTATCTCATGGGGTTTTGTGAGAGTTAAGTGAGTTAATGCATCCATATCACTTAAAACAGTGCCTGGCACACAGGAAAGGCTAGCCAAGTATTGGCTGTTATTAGGATGAGAATTATTGCAATGTTTGGAAAGTGCCCATCACTATACTAGACACATAGTAGGTGTTCTCCTGCCTCAGCCTCCCTAGTAGCTGGGATTACAAGCACCTGCCCACCAAGCCCAGCTAATTTTTGTATTTTTAGTAGAGATGGGGTTTCACCATGTTGGCAGGCTGGTCTCGAACTCCTGACCTCAAGTGATCCGCCTGCCTTGGCCTCCCAAAGTGCTGGGATTACATACATGAGCCACTGCACCCAGAGCCCATTCTCTTAATCCAGCCGTTTCCAGGGACCCCCCTCACTAAATTTCCCTGCTCCCCCATCCTCTCCAGGGGCCAAGTTCCCCATCAAATGGACAGCTCCTGAGGCCATCAACTTTGGCTCCTTCACCATCAAGTCAGACGTGTGGTCCTTCGGGATCCTGCTCACTGAACTCATCAGCAAGGGCCGAGTCCCTTACCCAGGTTTGTCTCGCCAGGGGTGGGGCTGGGGTGGGGGATGCTCATGGGAAAGGGCCCCCTCCTGGCTGTCCCTTTGACTGACGGAGCCCCATCCTTCAGGCATGAGTAAACGGGAAGTGTTGGAACAGGTGGAGCAGGGCTACCACATGCCGTGCCCCCCAGGCTGCCCAGCATCCCTATACGAGGCCATGGAGCAGACCTGGCGTCTGGACCCAGAGCAGAGGCCTACCTTTGAGTACTTACAGTCCTTCCTGGAAGACTACTTCACCTCCACTGAACCACAGTACCAGCCCGGGGATCAGACATAGCCTGCGTGGGCATCAACCACCTCTCTGGCAGTGGCCACCAGTCCTTGCCAATCCCCAGAGCTCTTGTTCCAAAGTCCCCAGGCTGGCTTAGAACCCCATAGAGTCCTACCATGCCAGAGGAGGCGAGGTGCTCTGACACCACTGAGGGCAACTCACTCATTTTACAGATGGGGCAAAAGGAGGCCCAGAGCTGATCCCTCATCCGCTCTGGCCCCGAGCACGATTGTTTCCTTTCCCACTTAGGCCCCTACATGCCTCTAGCCTTTCTCATCCCACCCCCACCCAAGGTGCTCAAGACCTTGTCTAATTATTTATAAAACTGTATGTTCCTCCCCTCACTTCTCTCCTATCACTGCCTTCCTGCTCTCCTTTTATCCCACTCCAGTCCAGGTGCCAAGAATATCCCTCCTACCCTCGATTATCTTGTGTCTCTAAGTTACAAAGTCAGGAAAAGACTTGGCTGGACCCCTTTCCTGCTGGGTGGATGCTGTGGTCCAGGACTGGGGTCTGGGCCCAGGTTTGAGGGAGAGGGTTGCTGAGCCCTTCCCACCTCTCTGAAAAGTGTGTATGCATTGGTTTATTGATTCTGTAACTAAGTAAAATGACAGTATTAATCCTCAAGCCATGAAATACCCTTGCACCTTCCTTTGGGAGGGAGGGTGGTCAATGGGAGGTGAACGGACAGATTTGGCTACAGGCAGGTGAGAGAGGGCCCTCATGCCTACCAAGCATGGGGCATCCAAGGTGTGGAGTTTCAAACACACACGTGAGTTTAGGTTGAGGTGTCAGACAGATACAGAAGACAAGCAACTGAAAATACGTTAAAATGTCCCCGTCATTACTGATGTGGCCTTCAAACTGTATACAATAGGTTTGCTAATTCTTTATCTGAGTTAATCGGATTTCCCATTCATCAGAGGCACAATGGGACAACCTTAGGCCTCCTTTGGCAGGGCGCAAGAAGACCACAGTGGACCCTCTGTAGCTGTCAGCCTCCCCAAAAGAGGACAGAAGAGAGAGGAGGAGAGAGGAGAGACCTGGGGGTTAGTTTAACCCACTGGATCTCACTAGGGGAGTTTTGCCCTCAAGGGAGCTTTGGAGAGGTTTGGAGGCAGTTTGGTTTATTTGGCTCCTACAGGCAGTGATCAGGGATGCTGAACAACCTGCAGTGCACCTGCATGATGATGAATCTTCCCACCCTCTTGCTCCCCCTTAGAGAAACTCTGGAAGCTGACATGCCTCCGTGTGGAAACAAGGGGAGCAGGGAATAAAGATTCCCATCTCTCCTGTCAGGAAATGTTTGTTGACCCTCTGACTTACTAAGGGAATGGACAGGGAAGGAGTCTGGGACCTTGGAATCACTGCTGCAATTGGCAAGTAATTACTGAGCGTTGACTCTCCAAAGCATTGACTCTTTGCTAAGGAGGACCCTGGGAACACAAAGACCTTCCCTGAGGAGTTCATAGTTAAGCAGAGGAGGAAAATAGTAATAACAATAATAACTCATTTATTAGGCGTCTTCTGAATGTCAGATGTATTTACAGCCATCTTTTCATTTGAATCCAGTCCTGAACCTGTCCCTGTGATTAGCTCCACTTGTAGATGAGAAAACTGAGGCTCAGGGGTTGCATGATGTACCAAGGGCATACAGCTGTATGTAACACAGCTATGATTTGAAACTAGATCTTACAGCAAAGCCCACGGTCTTTTCACTAGACGTCATTGCCTCTAGGCTTTGGGAAGAGAGCATCTGTGGGGTGTATGTATGTGTGTGATCCTTCTTCCTCTAGTTATTGGTAGAAAGATTCCCTGGAAATTCTCCCATGCTGGGTGACCTAAAGGAAGGAAAGATAAGGCGATCAATGCAGATTGAGAATTCCCTGTGCTCAGCCATGTGCTGGAGGTTGCTGAATGAGAGCAATAAGATGGAGATAAGCCAAATGGCTGCTCAGAGGGGTTGTCATGACGGTGGGAGCTTTAGCTCCACAGAAAAAGTCTCAGGGGACAAGATTTACCAAGGGCCATAGTTTCTGGCTGACCAAACTCACAAAAGCCTGATGTATAAGCCAGGGGCCAGTGATTCTATCTGCCATGGAATAAGCAGAGAAGAGCATGGCTCTGGAGCTGTAGTGCCTGGTGTGAATCCTGCCTCCATCACTCACTAGCTGTGTGATTTTGTGTAAGTTTTTCACCTCTCCAAGCTTAAGTTTCCACATCTGTGAAATAGCAACAGAATTCTCAATACATATTAATTCTCTTTGTGACTACCATTTGCAAATTATTTACTCTGTGCCAGCCATACTGCTAAGCGCATGCATGCTGCCATTTTATCCTCACAGATCCCTAGGAGGAGGAGTTCATTGTATCTTCATATTGCTAATGAGGAGACTGAGGCACAGCAAAGTGAATCGGCAGGACAGAAGTGGAAGAGCAGGGGCTTACACCAAGTCTTCTGACTCCAAAATCAGTGCTCTCAGTCTTCTGACTCCAAAATCAGTGCTCTCAGTCTCTATAGCCTTTTTATGGGACCATAATATTCTTGTTTGCCCTACAAGGCTCTGCCTGGTACCTGGATGCCCATTTGGTTTCAGTGAAGGCCCAGCAGGGCAGTGAACCAGCTGGAGTTCACCGAGCCCCCTCACTGCTCCTCAGTAGAGACCAGAGCCTCCTGAGCCTGGAATCCCTGTGTCTACTGGTGCCTTCCTTGTCTCTCCCTCCGAAACAGCTAAATGAATTCTCCCTTGCACCCCGTTTTCTGTGCAGCCTTCTGTTCCCTTCAGATAGAGCACAATGCAATTGATTAGGCTTCTGCTGTCTCAATTTCAATCACATCCTCGCCCTGCCTCCCTGAGATTACAGGCGGGTCACCTTGATTGCGGTTTGCACCGTTCACAAAACTCTTCAGTCGTTTACAAAACCATCTCTCGCCTCATTCACTCCCCCACCTGGCTCTTCTCCTCTGCGATGCATGGATTTTACTGGCTTAAGACTCAGAGGGCAATTTTACTTCCAAGTTCATCGTGGGGGAGGAGGACACCTAATTGACTAATGCTGGGTATTTCACATCCATCGTCTAATTTGATCCTCACCACAAAGCAGCACAGAATTGTGATTATCCCCATTTTACAAAAGAGGAAACAAGACTCTGAGAGGCTACAACACGGGCTCAAGGTCATATAGGCGGATGGTAGAGCCAGGATTTGAACTCAAAGTCTCATGTGTTCCCCTGGGTCACATTTCTTTATTTGAAGGAGCAGCATGGGAACATGTAATATTGACCCAGAGTCAGGTCCAAGAAGGGCCTGGTGCACATAGGGTTCTGGGGTAGCTCCATACATGCTGACAATTGTACTGATAAAAGAATTAAGTCATTTATTAATTTCATACACATCTACTGATGTCTCCTGTAGGCTGGTCCTGTCTAGGAGGCAGAACAGTAAACAATGACAACACTTAAGGGCAAGGTCAGTCTGGGAACCAAGTCTAGGGGATTTCTTGGAGTCTGTGAAATAAAAGTCTGCCTGATGAAGCAGCCACAGGGTGAGGTCATCTCCAGCAGAGGGAACAGCATGTGCAAAGGCTCAGAGGTATGGCAGAGTAAGGCCCACTCAAGCCAGGCAAGTGCCAATAATTAGGCATGGGAGGGCTGACGGTACAGATGAGGCAAGAAAGAATAGGGATGGAGAGTCAGAGGCAAGAAGTAGGAGGGGGAAGACCAAGGGGTATGGCCCCCGAGCTGTGGGAAAAAGGAAGAAGAAACCTGGGGGACCCAGGACTCATTGTGGGGAATGGGCGCGCGCGCACGCACGCACACACACACCCCCACACCCCCACACACACACACCCCCACACACACACAGAGCCTGGATGGTCCTGCAATGATGTTCACACTCCCTCTAGTGGTGACTTTGGGTACTACATTCAAAACTGCAAGAAACTTTCCCCTGGGATGGGAGAACCAGGTCTCCTCAGAAAATTCCCATCGCAGAACAGGAGATACCGCACAGTTCCTGCTCTCAAAGAGGTCACAGTTTAATGATGATGGGTGTTAATGGGACAGATGCAGGCAGAAAATGACAATAAAGCTATGTGGGAGAACAGGGGAGAGTCCTAACTCAATTGGGCAGGGGGAAGTCTGGAAGGTTTCTCAGAGGAGGTGATGCTTCATCAGAAGCAAGAGTAAGAGTTTGCTTGGTAAAGAGAAAAGCAACAGACGGGCATCCTGGACAGAATTAAGTAAGCTCAAAGGCAAGAAATGGGACTGCTCAGGGAGTTACAATTAGGTAGGTGTGCTGGGAGTATGAAATGTCAGAGGGGTTAGTGGCTAAAAATAAAGATGGCCAAGGCAGGCATGCATCTTTTCTGCCATGCACTCAAGCTGGGATCCTAAGCCTTAGGCAATGGGAAGCGACTGAAAGGTTTTGAGCAGGGTAGTAGCAGGGTCAGATTCACCTTTTTTTTTGAGACCGAGTCTCACTCTGTCACCCAGGCTGGAGTACAGTGGTGCGATCTTGGCTGACTGCAACCTTGCCTCCTGAGTTCGAGTGATTCTGCCTCAGCCTCCCAAGTAGCTGGGACTACAGGCGAGAGCCACCACTCCCAGCTAATTTTTGTATGTTTAGTAGAGACAGGGCTTCACCATATTGGCCAGGATTGTCTCGAATTCCTGGTCTCAAGTGATCTGACCACCTCAGCCTCCCAAAGTGCTGGGATTATAGGCGTGAGCCACCACGCCCAGCCAGATTCACTTTTCAGAAGGAACCCTTGGGTGACAATGGGGAGGAAAGATGGGAGGGGAAGAGGCAGGAGAGGGACAGCCCTCTTGGACACAAAGAACCATACCAGGTCACACTCACAGAAGGACACACAGCTTTGACTGTGCCTATGAAGCAGACATATTGATACAAGCAATGGCACCTACAGACATGTCAGTGGGATCCCAGGCTGAGCGCCCACAGACAATCATGTACTGTTTCACAGTCAGACACAGAAGTCAGGTCCGCCAGTGAAAAGCAAACTGAGGACACACAGTTACCCCCCAGACACAGGCGCACAGCGGGAACCACACAACCCTGATGGACACAGGAATTCACACACACGCAGTGTGGCTGTCAAGGGCCCCGACCCTACCCCCCTCTGTCTTCCCCAGGTCTCTCACCACCTCCGGCAGGAACAAAGCTGACCTTTGCCCTCTGGCCTCTGGCCTCTCCTCCCACACCCCCTGCCCCAGAGGGAGGAGCTGTTTGAAGTCTGGGCTGCAGCTGGGGTTTCCTGTGGCCTAGAGGAATGTGGGCGGACTTTCACAGGGGAGGGGAAAGGGGCTGGCCCAGGAGGAGGGCTAACAGGGCCTGGGGGCCTTAGTCCCCACTGTACCACAACAAGGGGGGCTTCCTGCTTCCACAGTCTCTAGGGCTCCAGCTTTGAGCTGTTCCCACCCAAAGAAGGGGAAAACCAGGCCATAATGGCTGCAGTCCAATAGGCCTCTTGTTCCTGGATCTGCAGCTCAATGGCTTAGAATAGGCCTGCCACCTCTGTAGGCCTCAGTCTCCCCTTCTGCGGACTGGGCTGAACCACCCTCTGGCAGTCCACACCCCCCCGAGTCGGCCCAGGAGGAGAACCAGCCCCAGGAA